TAAGAAATTTGAGAATCTTTAAAAAAAAAACAGAGCTAGTACCAAATAATCTTAGGACTGATATCATTTTAAAGTGTTTCAGATACGTAGAAAAATAAAAGTTCATAGAAAATGAATTTCTTTTTTATTGGCATATATTAAATTAAACGGGTTACAAGTTTTCATGATAATATTTATATATGCACATAGTATACTTTGGTCATTTTACTCCCTATATTATTCTTTCTTTTCCTCAGACTTTTCTTAGCACGTCAGAGAAATTTCTTAACCTTGGTCTCACCTACCTAGAGTTTTGTTCCTTCTATGTAATACCCTCCTTTCAAGACTTTCTTTACTCACTGTGAAACCGAGCTTTCTGTCATTTCCAGAAATCTCTAAAGTATTTTGAAGCTGTCCTCTCTCTTGGTCATATCACCATTCAAGTTAGCTGATTCTGTTTAGTGAGAAGTATATGAAATGGATCACTGTACATTCTTGAATCTGGATTTGCCCACAAACAATGCCTAATTTTGAACAGAATACTTAAATATCTAAAATCCCTAGTTTGTCATTTGTAAAAGGGATGTGAAGAAGGCTACCTAGGAAGGATCACTTGCGGTGGTAAATTGCATATCATTCAGCATCTGGTTCTGCATGTAGCTTGTTCTCTATATATACTATCCGTGGGAGTTTCCAGAGTGCATGTCACATATTGGCTTGAGGGTGATGACTAAGGCTAAGCTTAGAGATCTGAGCATCACTTTCAGTTTGAATGGGGATTATAGCTGGATCTATGAATAAAAACCACAGTAGTTAACAAACTTGGCTACACATTGCAACTACCCAGAAGCACACCCCCCCACACAAACTGATAGATAGCAATGGTTTGCCAATGGCAGCATGCATTCAAATTGCCTGCAGGCTTGGTAAACAGCATATTGCTAAGCCCTCAAATAAGAGTTTGTGGTTCAAAAGGTCTTGAGTGAAGTCTTAAGAATCTGATGGTCTAGCTGCTGCAGGGATAATTCATAAACTTAGTCTCCTGACAGCACATCATCATTCTTTTCCTAAGAGAGTTTTACTAAGAGAATCATACTAACTCCATTCTGAGAGAGAGAGAGAGAAAGAGAGAGAGAGAGAGAGAGAGAGAGTACCATTACTGGTTCTTGAGCTGCGGGCTTCATGTTTTGTTCAACTTTCTTGCCCACATCTGATACTCTACCACTTAAACCATGCTTTCAGGCTAGTATTTTGTAGTTCATTAGAAATGGAGTTTCATAGGCTTTTCTGCCTAAACTGGTTTTGAACCATGATTCTCCAGGTCCTCAGCCTCCTAAAATACTAGGATTATAGGCATGAACCACCAGTACCTACCACTCTAGATGTCTTCATTAGAGATTTCATTAATTTTTCTAAACTCAAAGCTGGCCACGATTTACAAAATTCTAAAATAAGGCAAGTAGATCTTGACACCAAGTGCAGCCAACTAAAGGAATATCTGAGACCATGAATGATGGTTGCTAATTATACTGTCTTGTTCTACCTTAATGTATTTCTAGAGGATGAGGGGTAAGGCAGTCTGCTGGCCTCTACTTCTTGCTCAATCTAGGAAGGAATTTATCTCTCCATCTCTATCTCCATGAAAGGTCACATTTAGTCCCCTAGAAGAAGTAGTATTAGAGGAAATACTTCCAATTCCTCCTCCCATATTTCACTGACCCTTTATGAAGATATGTATTAAACCCATAGGTTTAATGAGGATGGAAAAATGTCAGAAGCCTATTGGTTCTTACTTTTCTATTGAGTAATCACCTCTAGTCCTGAGATTAAAATGTTAGCTATCATATCATATATTGTCTATATATGCAAGGCAGGTGACTTTCCATGAAGCTAGACAGTGTCCAACTACTCAGTCCCTCAATACATCACTGTGTGTTGAAAATAGAAAGCAGATGGTAATAGCTTAGGTCTTTATCCCATGCTCTAGTCTATCTCAATCCCAGCAGCAATACTACATTTCCCATGAGGAAATGATATACTGGAGTGCGTTTTAAGACCCAGATTTTGATGTCAGACTCCCTGTGCTTGACTTATGTAGTTACCAGGATCCTCTAAAACCATTCCCCCTCCCAGCTCTTCATCATTTCCCTATTTGTAAAGCAAACTCTGCAAATGAAGTTCCAGGTGAGAAGTGATGAGAAGAAGACTAAGATCCATCCACCAATTAAGTAGCTTCTATGGACATCTCTACGCTTTTGTTTTCCACATGGGAACTCTTTTGTTAAGCCCTGGGAAAAGAATGGCTACTCACCAAACCTAAGGCCCAAAGAACACTTTATGATCCCAGGAAAACATTTCCCAGAATGTCCCTTATCCTGGAAGATAGGAGTTATTTCTCCCTTGCTTATACCTTAGCTCCAGTCCTTAAGTTGTCATAATATTCTTAATGGTCTATTCAGTGAACATGTTCTATATCCAACTTCTGGAGATAATCTGAGGATACCTTATTTTTTAAATCCACATTGTGGATAAAGTTTTTCTTCTAACCTGAAGTAAGCATGCAGATACATATGTCTGAGACATTAAGTCATGTCAGGCTTGCGTTGTGCCTCTTGATTGGCAGCAGCTCCCTACTGCAGAATAAATACCCAGTTGGATGAAGCCCCTGTGTCAGGAATAAGATGAGGAAGACTTCATATTATTATAGATACTTAGACTCAATGAGCCAACTACTTCTCATGCAGTCTAAAGACACAGGGTCAGAAAAGAAGACTGGAAATCACAGAGGGAACACAGTATTTGGGAATAAGATGCACAAGGTGGGTATGTGTCTTAGAAAGTTGTGGACTGCTACAGTTATCATAAACTGGGTGACTTGTGAATAATAAAGTTATTTCTCTGAGGATTGGAAATATACGACCAACACAGACTCCCTATCTGAAGGCACAATTTCTTTTTTTTTTATTTTTTAAAGGCACTTAAATTTTAACAATGTAGAGGAAGGAGAAAGAGGACCAAATACAGTTGTACCTAATGATACTTTCCTTGTACACATAATACAAACACGTTATTCGAGAGGGCACAATTTCTGGCTCTGAGATGCCACCTGCCTTGCTCATATGTTGAGGTCTTATGTGATAGAAGGAAGGGGTCTCTCTGGATCTCTTTTGTAGGTTACCAATCCACACTCATGAAGGCCCTCCCAGTTTCCTCACGAAGACCTTACCTCTAGAATATCACACTGGTGATTAGATTTCAACATAAGAATTTTGCAAGCAAACATATTCCAACATACAATTGTCCTGATAGTATCAGGTAAAAAGCACAATATTAGTGACCACCACCCACTCTGCTTAAGAACTATGAATAGTTTAATGGTATCTCAAAAGCCTTCCCCTTCCATTACCTACCTAATATGTGATCCTTTTTGAAGAAAGAAGAAAAGGAAATAGAAAGTTGCTGAACCTATTTTTTAAAAAAAGATCAGGATACAAGGTTCTAGATAATAGAAACTTAACACATGAATTAAGAGTTCAATCCATCTCGATGCCGGTGGCTCATACCTGTAATCCTAGCTACTCAGAAGTCAGATTGGGAAGAGAAGTCCTCCTGACACTCTTATCTCCAGTTAACCACTCAAAACCTGGAAGAGGGAGCTTTGGTTCAAAGTGGTAGAGCACTACCCTTGCACAAAAAGAACTCATGGACAGTGCTCAGGCCCTGAGTTCAAGCTCTGTGACTAACCAAAAAAAAAAAAAAAAGAGTTAAATTCAGGGAAGAGGCACAGGGAATAGGAAGGGCTCAGTAAGGACATGCAGGCTGAACTATATACATATATATATGTATATATATATATATACATATATATACATACACACCCACACACACACACACACATATCAGGGTCCTCCAAATAAACCAAAAAGGTATATTTGAACAAGTTCATATGACTAAAGAGATCGAGAAGCTCTCAAAACTGTGGTTGGCAAGCTGAAAATGTATGAGAGCTAATATTGCAGTTTTCCTGTCCAAGTCTTTTTTTTTAATTTTATTATCAAGTTGATATTCAGAGGGGTTACAGTTACCTATGTAAGCTAGAGTGTTTCTTGTCAAACATTGTTACCCTCTCCCTCATTTTTCTCCCACTTTCCCACCCCCCAGTGCCCCACCCACCCAAGGTATAAAGTTCATCTCCAACACGTTGTCTTGTGAGTATCACTGTTGCTTCTGGCCTGGAGAGAAAAACAAACCAACCAACCAACAAACAAGTACAACATGGTCAATATTAAAAAAAATTATCTATATCTCATTTCACTTCCTTTTTTTATTGCGAAAATACCGTACAGAGGGGTTACAAGATTATGAGTACATTTCTTATCAAGCATTGTTGCCTCCTCCTTTGTTTCCCCAGGCCACATTCTCTTTCATGAGTGATACCTAATGGCCATCAGGTCAGTCTTGAAGAACACTTCAATTTTATTAGTATAAGTAGTTTTAGCAGCATTTCACTTGTTAACAGTTAACTTAGGAAACCTGTCTTATAGCTAAAGTGACTTTGAAATGACCTAAATCTTAAGGATTATACAGAAAACACACGGAATACAAATGGTACATAATACCATAAACTTTAACCAAAACACTGAGCTAAGAGGCTTAAATAACTATATATAGTTTGTAATGTAAGAGTGCTTTGTCCTATTTCTTTGTATATAAAATATGAATCATAATATATCAGAAGATTTCAGGATTTTTGTAAGAATTGCATGAAAAGTGCCAAATAAGCACTTGCTGCTATTTATTAACGATGTCTTTGCCATTGTTGATTTATGCTCTTTGTAGCTCAGTGTCTTCCAGTCATAACAGAATAGATAACTTCTACCTTTAGAACTTAATATTAGACTATTCCCTTGGAATTATCGAAGTCTCTCACACTGACTGAGAGGTTTTCAGTTGGGAAGCAGCCCTCCATATTTAAATGACTTCTCCATGAGCTTATATGACAGAGAGGGAAAGAGCAACAGTCACCTCATCTTACTTCCCATCGTCAGGATTTGTAGAAGCCTCTCTCTGATCTGCTTGGTGCGGACAGCATAGACAATAGGATTCAGGATTGGAGGAATGAGGAGATAGAAGTTGGCCAACAGAGTATGGATTGGAGGAGGTACCTGGTGACCAAACCGGTGAATGAGAGAAGAAACAGCAATGGGAACATAAAAGATCAGGATGGCACACACATGAGAACCACATGTCCCCAGAGTTTTAAGCCTGGCTTCAGGGGTAGCCAGCCCCATCACAGCCCTGAAGATCATCACATAGGAGGCAGCAATAGCCACTGAATCCAGGATCAAGACCAGAAAGCCAATGCTCAGCCCGTAGACATTGTTAACTGTGCTGTCCCCACACGTCAAGGTGACCACAGCCATGTGCTCACAGTAGGAGTGGGAGATGATGTGAGTTTTGTAAAGAGGTAGCCGCAAGCGGATCATCAGAGGCAAAGGTCCAATGTAAAGAATTCCTCGAAGAAGAGCAGCCAGTCCTAAACGACACACCAGTGCATGGGTGAGGACTGTGGCATGACGCAGTGGGTCACAAATGGCTACGTAGCGATCGAAAGCCATGGCCAGGAAGATGCCTGACTCAACTGTAGCAAAGCAGTGAATGAGAAACATTTGCCCCAAGCAGGCATCTAGGCCAATGTTTCCAGCACCAAACCAAAAGATTCCCAGAAGTTTGGGAATAGTGGAAGTAGACAGAACCAGATCAATGATAGCCAGCATGCACAGAAAGAAGTACATGGGCTGATGCAGGTTACGTTCTACCTTAACCACAGCCAGGATGGTGACATTCCCCACAACAGCCACCAAGTACATAGAGCTAAAGGGGATGGAGAGCCAGATGTGCATGGCCTCCAGCCCTGGGATTCCCAGGAGCTGAAAGGAGCTGGGTACCGAGCAGACATTATGAAAAGTAAGCATGGCTACTTGTAAATAAATCTTCCCATTTGTGCCTGAAAATGTACACGTTTTCCCCCTAGAAAAGAGAGGACAATCGTTTATGCTTAGGTCATATAATTTTTTAAAGATCATTAATAAGATCATGAATACAGTAAGTCTTAAGAATAAATTGTAGAAGTTCATAGTATAGATGTCATGTTACAAAGAAATATCCATGAAAACTCAAAATGAACAGGAAAAATACACATTTGAATGAACATATAAAGGATTTGGTCAGCTTTTAGTAGCATGACTCTTGACCCAATTATATTGTTACACTCATGAATCAATTGACCTACGGCTGATATATACCCATTGGGTCATTTATTTCTGTATGTGTATATGATACAGTTGCTGTTAGGGTCAGATGGGATGCTGTATAGAGTGACAGCTCCTCGAGGAAGATCCAATAGATCTGAAATACAGGATAAAAGTTTGGGGACAATCTGTAGTAAGTTAAAACTTAATCTTGGAACTAGCAACAACTTTTGAATAAACTGAAAGGATATTGAATGTTCAGGCCAAAATCACAAAAATCCCTGTCTGGGGAAGACAGGACTTTCAGAGGTTAGAAACAAGGTGAATTTACAAGCTAACAGAAGCTTGCTTTGTGGATCTGATGCCCAAGGCAGAACCTAGCGAGAGCCTCCTTCTCCCTTCACGGGGGCTGAATTTTAGAAGCAGAGATGGCTAATATCAGAAAGAAGGAAAATGAAATCAATACCGAATTCTAGGGTGTTTAAGGGATCAATATGTTGCCTATGACATGTATTGGCTCAGATAAGAGCAACTAGCTCAAAGTGAGATGTCTGCAGAGCAGGCATGGAAAGAGTTTGTATTGTATGTCTTTTCTTTGTTTTTGCTTTATTTTCTTAGTCTAAATGTTCAAAGCAAAATCTATTTCTTATATATGTCAAAGAAACTAGAAGAAAGGTTAAAGAGCATGGGAGAAACTCTGTCTTTTCTATCTTAAGCCTGGTTAAATGGACTATGGTGAAACAGTAGACTGGCTTGGGAATTTCCCATATCTGACTTCACCTGCTGACAGTGTGGACTTAAACAAATGAATCCTGCTATTGAAACACCACCAACCTCGCGTTACAATGAACTGATTTTTAAAAAGCTGTGCCTCAAAGAAATTGTCATGAAGACTGCATGCAGCGTCTGATACACAAATACTATGCATCTGCTCTTTTCTTCATTTGAGACCACTATGCAAAACCAAGAATATGTTCCAGCAACCTCAAACAACTTTAAACTCTCTCCAGGGAGAATTGATGCTGAGAGGATAGTCACATGGAAACTCTGTAGTGTTGTCATCCTACAGAACTCCTCTCTGTAAGCCAGGCTCACCCAAAGGTCTTCAAATATTAAATGGGTATGACACTGGCTGTAGCTGTAAAGTGAAAATAAGTTTGTCATGGAGGCTGAGCATACAGACAACATGGCTTGTCTCTGAGATTCTGGTAGACAGAGGTTTAGCTAAGAGGATCCTAGATTGGCTTCTTTATCCTATTTACTGATTCTTCTCCATTTACTCCTCCAGTGTGATGTCCCAAATCCCTGTTCTCTAATTTCCACAAGTTCATTCAATGTCAGGCACCAGCAGTTATTTTTAAAAGAGAATATTAAGGGCTGGGAAGGTGACTCAGTGGTAGAGCCCTTGCCTTGCATGCCTGAGGCCCTGGGTTCGATTCCTCAGCACCACATAAGAAAAAAGAAAAAAGCCGGAAGTGGCGCTGTGGCTCAAGTGGTAGAGTGCTAGCCTTGAGCTGAAGAGCTGAGGGACAGTGCCCAGGCCCAGAGTTCAGGCCCCACGACCAGAACCAAAAAGAATTTTTAAAAAACAGAGAGAATATTAAACATCAGAGACTTCTGAATTCTCTTCCCACCAGCCATGTCTAGGCCTTCTGCCAGACACCCCAACACCTGAAAATGAGCTCTTACTATTTTCTGATACTATACATGACCTCACCTGGTAAGGCCTGAATTCGGTAATGGTGGTCACTCATAGTCCCAGGACTTCACCCTCTCTTGTCGGTTTCTTCAACCCTGTGTGCCCCTCTGCAACTGGTTCCAGCAGCTGCCTCTGGGATCATACCACATGTTTTCTTGTGGATATCCAGCACTTCACAGTCTCTACCAAGGATTTCCTCTAGCTTAGGTTCAATCCTCTTGCAGAGTGCTTAGGACACTGTATCTGAAGTTGGACAAGTCACAGCATGCACATTGAAAGAAAAAGAGCTATAATCTCATCGAAGTCAGAAGTTAGAGAAACTGTTTCACATCCTCCTCCCATCCTCCACTCAATGGCTTCTAATGAAGTAGCTTTCATAACTTGCACAGGTCATGCTAAACAAAGCTATAATGTGGAAAGCAATATCTTTGCTTTATTCCAGAAAGGGAGAGTCTTTGGATGGAACTACCAGCAAGACTTGCCAGATGAAATCTCATGACTCCCTCAGCAACCGTGGCTCCTCTGGTTGCTTCAGAGTCTATCTCCTTCCCTTCTGATGAGGCTAAAGTCCCTTCACTACTGCTCAGCAGGGTCGATCACTTCTAGGTTTAGGGAGGAAAGCAGTGTTGTCGGAGAATCCCACATCCCCAAGTCACACAGAGGTTAAATGCACACTCTGTGAATTAAGGACAGGGAAGGAAATCAGAAGGCATCTGATTTGTTAGGGTCAACCCAAATATCCCCAGTCCTTTGTTCTGACCTAAAGCTCTGAAAAGGTAGCCTTGACTTTTCCTCATTCCTTCTCCATGCCTGATAACTGAGAGCTATCTTCCTGATGAATGGTTCCTTCACCATTTCATCTCTTCCTGTCAACTTCTGAACACATCACGAAACTGAACAGATATACCTCACCTGCTAAATAAGGGTAGGCTGAGCTGATTTTTCTGTCCTGAGACCCCAACACTATAAGTATCTCCTTATTTTGGGGTCCGGTCGTGGGGCCTGAACTCTGGGCCTGGGTGCTGTCCCTCAGCTCTTCAGCTCAAGGCTAGCGCTCTACCGCTTGAGCCACAGCGCCACTTCCAGCTTTTTTTTCTGCTTATGTGGTGCTCTGAGGAATAGAACCCAGGGCCTCAGGCATGCAAGGCAAGCGCTCTACCATTGAGCCACCTTCCCAGCCCCTGAGTATCTCCTTATGACTCCCTAGTAAGAAGCAGTTCTCATACCTTCAATGCATCAGGAGACTACAGCCTGCACTCCTGTGCAAGGATCGTGAAGTATAAGGCTTCGCTGCAGGGCAATCTGCCATCAGAGCTCCCCATCCACACACACTCATCATAGCCACCCACAGCTTTAATCATGCCCCAGCCCTCTCACTACCTTCCAATGAGGCTGAACGATCTCCTTCTGCCTCTAATCATCTATGTTCTTTCCTGGGGTTGCAATAGCTCTGTCTTCCCCATCCTAGCATATCAACTCCGCCCCAGCTTACCACCATCTTCTTAAGGAAGCCGATTTTTATGTGGAAGAGCTCTCTGAATGGCATGTTTCTCTACATAGAATGGAAGTTTCAAATAAGTAAGGATTGTGCCTGCCTTGTCTTTTGAAATCCCTGAGCTAGCACACTGCCTGATCTACTTACTGAATGACAATTAAAATATACCTATTTCAGACCCTGGCGAAGGGTCTTAGAGTTTTGCATTAGACTCTGTAAACAACAATCCTCTTCAACATCTTTGAGTGTGATTTGTTGGGGACTCTACCTTTTAAGGTCCCTTGCAAGAGAATTTCTTCCCTCTGGACCTCTGGAGACAATACAGGAAGATGAAGGCCCAGGAGTGCTGGGCCTTCTCATATTTATGACTCAGGACCCCTGGTATGTTTCTACATTCCCTGTATTAGATGCTCTTACCTCAGCTGGATCATGTTGGAAGAGCTTGGGGCTCCGCGCATGCCTCAGAGGCCTGATAAACATTCCACACTTATGAACATTCTGCTCAAGAGTCCAGGGAATTCCATCTGAGAGTTAGGGAAAGGTTCAGAGTTCTATATAATAGAATAATAGCCACACTGCCCCAGAAGGATGAGCACAGAATCAAGTGTGAGGGATCGCTATGCCTAGCATGTCAAGGTTGGTACAAAAGGGCTTAGGGGAAAAGCCAGACCTCTTGAGTGATAATCTCTTGAGTCCAAGTCTACTCTCAGGTCTTATACCTGGCCCCTCCAGAGTTGTCTGCCTTTCTGAGGACACCAAGTACAAATCAAAAAGGCTTTCCTGAAGTTGCAATGAAGCGTCTTCTCAGACTCAAATACAAGGGATTAGAAATGGAGAGCAGGATTAATCTGTATGTTTTATCTCCCTACGGTATTTAAGAGCACGGCATTTCAGTGGCAGCACTTCAAAAACTTAGATACCGAAGGCGTTTTTCTTCATTGTAGGTAATGTCAGGAGAGGATTCTGTGGACTTGTGAAGGACAGGAACCATCCTACCCACATTTTTATGAAATACATTACTATGAAATACATCTCTTTCCTCACAAAGGAGAAGACACACTTGGGAAGCAGCAGTATCTTAATGAGACACAGTTCAATTAATTGGGCATCTTATTCTAGGATATGTGATAAGGCATTGTCTTTGAAGGCTTAGTAAGTATTTTAGTAGCTATTATAACTTGATTATGGACAGAAAGATGTTAGTAGGAAAGCATGCCTTAAAACAGCATAATCGCAGGGCTGGGAAGGTGGCTCAGTGGTAGAGTGCTTGCCTTGCAAGCATGAGGCCCTGGGTTTGATTCCTCAGTACCATATAAGCAGAAAAAGCTGGAAGTGCCACTGTGGCTCAAGTGGTAGAGCAATAGCCTTGAGCTGAAGAGCTGAGGGGCAGCACCCAGGCCCAGAGTTCAGGCCCTACAACTGGCAAGAAAAATAAAAATAATAAAAATAATTTTTAAAAAAGCATAATCCACCACTGCTGTTGTTTCTGAGTTTTTTAGGAAGGCTAAGTCAAGAAAAATGAGAGCTTCA